ACGGGTGACAGGCCTGCTGGGCTGCGGGTCCAGCCTGGGGCTGGGGGTTAGGGAGAAGGGGTGAGGGGGACCCGTCTGACCCCTCCCAGCTCTTCCTGAGAGAGGAAACATCCTTCTATCGATCTGAGGCCAGCAGGAGCCTGAATCGGATGCTTCCTTTTGAAACCAATGGATCAGCAAACCATCATGAGCTGGTCTTTTCTAAAAGCTCGGCACGGCCCCAGGCCCTCGCTGGGCCAGTTCCAGGAAGCCTGGTCCCCGGCGGCTCCGTCTTGTCCGGGCCTGGAGTGTGGACGGCGGCTGCCCTGGGCCGGAACTCCGGCTGCAGAGGCTGCGGGCTCCCTGTCCCTGCCCCCTGCGGCCGCTCTGCAGGGCCGGGCGCCCAGGCCGGCCTCCAGCGTCCGTCCAGGTCCCCGGGGCTCGGCGTGCTTCCTGGAGAAGCTTCCTCAGGAAGCAGAGCTCCCCCACTTCCTGTGTTCCCAGAACCAGCGGGGAGCACAGCCGGAGGCACAGCCTTCCAAGCAGCCGGGGCCTCGGGGAGGGCTCGGGCGGCCTGTGACCCTGGGCAGGCCCCAGCCCTGCCACACCTGTTCCCCCAACCGCCCTCAGGGACGCGTCTCCCTCCCCTGGGACCCAAGAACCAGCCTCCACCCCCACCCTCACCTCACACCTACCCGCCAGCGCCTTCCCTCCTCCCGTCCCAGAACTTCCAGAGAGGAGTTTGCGGAACCTGCGTGGCCCCCGGCCGCACTCCCATCACAGAGGTTGGTGCCCAGCGAGGAGCCGGGCCAGGGGGCAGCGCAGGGAGCGGGAGGGGGGGGGGTGCTAACACCCCAGGCTGCCAGCAGGCGCTCCAGCTCCCACCTGTAACACAGGCCCCGGGCCTGAGAGCTTCGCCCAGCTGTTAGGGCAGAGGCTAACTGGCCTAAAGCGCCATCCGCCTGGCTCTGTGGAGGCACCCAGGACATAGGCATGGCCACCTACCTGAGGGCACAGGCTCCGGCCAGAGCTGGGTGCCTTCCTACAGGAGCCCCAGGGTGGAGGGTGGGAGACAGACGGGGGACTTTCGGGCCCCGTGTGCCCCTGTGGCTTGGCCTCATCTCACCACGGGTGACAGGCCTGCTGGACTGCGGGCCCAGCCTAGGGCTTGGGGGTTGGGGGGTGAGGGGGACACGTCTTATTAAGTGGGTTAAGCAGGCCCGTCCGCCCTCCCGCCCTCCCCTTCCCTCTCTCCCTTCCCCGTGGAATCAGGGGCACAAGCCCTCGTTTCAAGGCACACATTTGCCATTTGCTCATGCAAAGCCATTACGTGGACAGTAACTATACTTTCTATTTTTGTGAACTAATTTTTCATGAGCACGGTGCCCCCTCCCCACCAGTGCAGGGACAGAGCAGCGACTCCTCCACTCCCAGCCACCCACCCGGCAACCTCTGCCCAGACCTGTTCCTCAGCCTCTCTCTTTTCTTTCTTTAAAAAAATCTTTTTTTTTTTTTAAATATGTTTTTATTGAGTTTTTGGAGAGAGAGAAGAAGGGAGACAGAGAGAGAGAGAAACCTTGGTGAGAAGGGAACATCATCCATTGGCTGCCTTCTGTAGCCGCCGGGAATTGAACCAGTGACCTCTTGGTTCCTGGGTTGATGCTCAACCACTAAGCCACGCAGGCCGGGCTCAGCCCCTCCCTTCTCTAAGAGTTCTGTCGCATGTACATTTATGCTGCACAACCTCCAGGAGCGCATTGGGAAGGATCCCCGAGTGTGGCCTCGGGCTGCTCTGTCCACTCAGCCTTCCGCTCCTGAGAAGCGTCGGCCTTCCGGGCACGGCCGGCTCGGTCCCATCCTCTGTCCCGTCCTCTCTTGCTGGTGGGAACTGTTGCTCTCCATCCAGCACCAGACGAGAGGCCCACAGCAGGTTTCCTAACACCCACAAGCTGGTGGTGGAACGGCTCTCTGCACAGGACTGAGGCTGGCCATCTTTCCTCGGGCTTATTGGCCAAATGACTGCAAAATGCCCTCGTGACGGGGCCTGTTGTGCACCGGCTGTCGACCTTCTCCTCCGGTGTGTAGGGGTTCTTGACTTTCTCAGTGCTGGTCCTGTTGTCCGAAATGCTGCCAACCCTCTCCCCAGGTGCCCCATTTTTTCAAGGTGGTTGTGACGGACACGTCTTGGCAAACTCCCGGAGGTGCCCCTCTTCCCCATCTTGTTGAAACTCACTTTCCCAGAGCCCGGGAGGAGCAGGGCGGCCCTTCTCCTGTGCCCGAGGCGTGGGGGCCTTGCCTCGGGCAGAGGGCCCCGAGGAGGCGCGTGTCCCCGGCCCCACTGCTGACCTTGGGACATCTCACAAAGGGGAAGGGGCCTCACGGAACCCCAAAACAAATCCAACAAACGTGAGCTGGGCCCCAAATATGCAGAGTTTCCCTGGGTGGCCCGAGCCGGCCAGGAGTACCCAGGTCAGGCTAGTGTGCACCAAAGCCCGAGGGTCTGCAGGACAGGGGTGTGCGGGGCCAGGGCCAGAGCTGACCAGGCCACAGTGCCCCCAAGGCCAGCTGGCCAAGGCAGACCGGGTCGGGTCTCAGCCCTGGACCTGCCTCGGACGTCAGAGCTGCCAGCAGGTAGGAGACAGCCCCACCCTGTGCCCATAGGCAGGTGGCCACAGGAAGACACAAGCCCAGTAGCAATTGAGCAGACCAACCCGGGTGACGCCTTGAGCCCAGCCCCTGGCACAGCCTGAGTCAGCATGGGCACAGCTGATAAAGCAGGCAGGGCAGGGCAGGGCAGGGCAGGGCACCGGCTTGGGGACTCCCGCCTGCTGGTCAGAGGAATTCAGTGCTGCAGCCCTGGCTTGGCTCATGGATGGGAACATGGAATGGCCACATTGTGGCAGGCATGCACACTTGTACACATGTGAACAGCAAATGTGACTGCAGGAGAGGGTGTCTAGAGATGGGGAACAGAAGGTGCCAGGAGCTGAGGCAGGCCCACACAGAGCCTGATTCCCGGGGTCAGGAGGCATGGCCACACGACACTCAGACTGTGCCCATTCTCGACCAATACGTGGTGCTCGGACGCCAGGAGGCTTGCCCTCATGGAGCACAGCATCTAGGGTGCCAGCGGGCCACGCCCACAGCCCTGCCCGCTCGTTATGGTGCTCGTCTGGGTCATGCTGTGCCAAGACTCAGCGTCCACACCTGGTCTCCTCTCTGGACTCGGGGTCTTGGGACACGTCTCTGTGTCTCTGAGCCTCAGTTTTCCCACCCAGGAACCCAGGCTCATAACAGCTGCACCTCAGACACAGGGACGAGATAAACGGAAAACAGAAACAAAGACATTGGTCAGGTAGTGCCTGGCCCTGAGCGCCAGAAAACGCCTATCATCTTGTAACCGAAAACCAAGGGGTCTGCGCTGCCTGTCACTACTTGAGCCAAATGAGCAGAGACAGGGCTGAAGCATACAGGAGTGTTTATTCCAATGCTGCCAGCAGCATGGGAAAGCAGCAGGCCATCCACAAAACCTGGTAGGCAGCCCCCATAAGCCAGCTGGGTGCATAGGGTAGGACAAGGGTTACAGGGGGAAGTAAGGGTTACAGGAATGGGGAGGTAGGCTACGCAGGCTGGGGTGGGACTCACTGTTTGGGCAACATGTTAATCTTCCCATAATAACAGGCAGTTCTGGAATGAGAATGGACTACATTCTAAGGTTGACTCCCAGGTACCGAAGGTACACAACTCCCAGCCAGATCAGAATGTCCTTTCTTTAACCAACACGAGGCACTCCTGGTTAACAGAGCATGGTTAATATTTCCCCAATAGTCTATGTTTTCCCCTAACAATCTGGGCTTTGTTGTGTCCCCCAAATCCGTATGTTGAAGCCCCCGCACCTCAGAGTGTGACTATCTGTGGAGACAGGGCCTTTACCGAGGTGACTGAGTGAAAATGAGGCCACTGGTGTGGGCCCTCGTCCACCCTGACGCGTGTCCTTTGAGAGGAGATTAGGACACAGACACACAGGGACGACCTTGTGAGGACACAGGGAGAAGAGACCCCGCCACACGCCAAGGAGGGAGGCCTCAGGAGAGCCGGCCCCATCCGCACCTTGGCCTCAGGCTCCCCGCCTCCAGGACTAGGAGGCAGTAGTGTTGGTTCTTAGAGCCGCTCGATCCGTGGAGGAGCCTCGGGGGCGCCCCAGCGGCCTTTTCTTCAGCAAAGACGTCTCCACGGCTGACCCTCCGGCTCCCGGAGGACCACCGCCCTCAGAAGCAGCTGGAACGGGCAGCAGGCGGGCTCCTTGGGGAGGGAGCTGAATGCCCTCAGACAGGGTGGGGGTGGGGGGGCCATCCACAGAGGAGATCTGGCCTTTCCCAGGAAATCGCAGGTTGAGAGCAGCATGCGCTCCTGCGCAAGCTCACATGTGCACATTCACTCACATGCATGTCACACCGTGTTACACGGGATTCACCAGATGCTTTTGAAAAAATAGATCAAGCCAAAATGCCAGTGATGGGGGAGGGTGCTGCGACGTTGGGAGGTGGGCACAGCCCATCGGAGCCGCAGGGAGGGGCTCCCCTTGTCCTCACCGGGGCTCAAGGTGCCCTCCTGGGCCAACTGACGGCTCACCCCAAACCACAGTGCTCGAGGAGGTAAAGGGAAGAAAACTGTGGCCTAAAAGTGAGTCTTAGGAATCCGTCTCCACACAGGGCAGCAGCAGCCCTGAGCCTCCCGCTGGTGTGTCAAGCACTGGGGCTGGCAGGGCCCGCCCCCAAGGGTGGTCCCCAGCTCTCCGTGCTCACCAGGTGTCCCCTCCACCCTCAGGCTCGGGGTCCCTGCAGAGTCCCCTTCCATGGAGGCCAAACACCACCGTGTCACTGCTGAGTTACAAAAACAGGAATTCACAGGATAAAAGGGCAGATGGTCCCAGGCCTCTGGGCCTGGCCCGGGTCCAGGTAGATGGCGCTGAGAAGCTGGGGCTCTGCGCCCCCATCACACCCCTCCCTGGCTTCACTCACCTGAGACCAGAGGAGCCACCAGGAATGCGACTGCCCCGGGGCTTTGCCTCCCAGCTGCCTCTGCACCCTGGGCCCGGCCCACAGCCTCTCCCGACAGCACAGATGCAGGACTCCACTGAGTGGTTGCCGTGGCAACCATTCTTGACTCATTTCCTCTTTCGCAGCCCCTCTCGGAACTCAGTGATTAAACACTCCCACCCCTGCCGCAGGGCTGATGCATGTCCAGTGTTTGGATTGGCTGCCCTGTCACGCCTCCCAGGCTTAGGACACGTGTGGCCCTGGTGGGGCATGTGGGTAGCTGGTGAGAAACCTGAGGGGTGCGGAAGGCCTATTTGTGTCTGCTCTCTCTTCTTCCCCACCCCACACCCAGGAAGGGCCCTCCCTCCACCCACCTCAGGGCCGCGTCCCATCTCATTTCCTAACAAAGCCCCCTGGTCACCTGACAACCATCCACTGTGTGCCCCAGAAGAGAGCCTAGGAGGGTTCGGCCTGGAGTTTGCACAGAAGCCATGTGCCAGGTTGGGAGGCAGTCCTAGCAGGAGAGGGGAGGGGGCGGAGGCCCCACGTCCCCTTGGTGCACACGTGAGGGCACGCACACACACACACACAGCAAGTATGGCCAAGCTCAGGCACAGCTGGGCACCCTCCTTCTCACTCACCACCCAGGCACTGAGTCCTGGCCGGCATAACTGGGCACAGAGTCTGGCCCAAGTCAGCCAACTGGATCCTCTGGCACTCACGACTGTGCACAAGCTTCTCCAGGTTCCTGCACCGCCCGGGCCTCGGTTTCCTTCTTACACACTAAAGCTCTGGGCTGGCTCAGCATTTCGCAAGTAACTCTATGTAGAACAGGAAGTGGGCTGGGGGCCAGGGACGGGCAGACCTGGAATGTTGAGGTACACAGGTGTCTCACTGGGGCTTCTCAGGGCCTTGGCACAAGCTGAGATCCGAGGGAGACAGATTGAGCTCCAGGGTCCAGGCCTCTGGTTTGCACATCAGCCAACGCCAAGGTCGCTCATGCTCGCAGACCACATTCGGGAGATGTGGTGGTGGGAGGCACCATCCCCACCGCACTGCGGGCTGTGGTTCGGAGCTGAGCCCCATGCAGAGCTGGGGAGGCCTCGGGTGGCTTACACGTGACTAGAAAACAAATCAAGGTCTCAGGAAGGAGGCAGGGAGAGCCGCTTGAAAAGGAAAGCTTGTCTTCCACGGGCCTTCTTCTTCTTCTAACCCTCCCCCGAATATACACTCTGATTGATTGGAGAGAGGGTAATGGGGGAAGAGATGTCTATACGCTGCCCTCCGCACCTCCCCGACCAGGGATCAAGCCCACGACCTAGGTGTGTGCCCTGTAACCTTTTGGTGTCAGGGTGACACTCCAACCTACCATGGGCAAGGGGCTTCCAGGACAGGCCTTCTTATCAGCCTCCTACAGTGGCTGGAGAGAGGTGGGGCCAGGGTCGGCCTTCCATGGGGGATGCTCTGCCATTCGCACTCTGCCTTCTAGAAGGCTCACCCATGGTTGCAAAATACAGGGGCAGCAAATGCGAGGTCCCACAGAAGAAAAAAGCCGGGGCAGGTGTGGCTCGTCTGGGCCACTCGGACTCCCTCAGCTTCCAGCCCTGTCCCCGCTGTGACCTAGATAGGCCAGACCAGAGGGGCTGACGGGCAGCGTTTCTGGACGGCAGGGGCCCCGCGATGCAGTGATCTGCCCGTTACTTACTGTGTGGATGTGTGCCAGGCACTATTCTAGGCCAGGACTGTCCTGGGCCAGGACCACACAAGTCAGGCCTCCAGGCGGCCTCCCTCAGCCTCCTCAGGCCCGGAGGCTCTGCGGGGCCAGGCAGATCTGCCCCAGAGAACTGAGACGGGGGTCAGGATGTGAGCCCGAAATGTGGCAAGAGCCCTTCACTGCCAGCTCAGAATGGCTCTGTAATCCCAGATGGAACCCAGATGCCAGGACTAAGTACATACATGGTTATGCACACACTCAGGCTTCCTAATGGTTTCCCAAGAAGGGATCTAGCCTGCAGGAAGATTCTAGAAACCAGCTTTCTAGGAAGAGCTGGCCTTGGTGACATTTGTCTCCAGGAAGGTTAGAGCTCAGGGAGAGGCTGGTGCAGGGCAGCATGAGCCGGTGTCTGGTGAGGGCCCACGTACTGGTTTACATGGCCACATCCCTCTTGCTGTGTCTCCACATGGGAGAGAAAGAGACCATCGCTGCTTTGTCTCTTCCTATGAGGCCACTACCACCCTCATGACCTCTCACCTCCCACAGGCCCCGCCTCCTCACACACAGAGTCCAGAGCAGCATCTTCTGAGGATAATGTGCCCCAGCATCTTTTGCCCAGGTCGGAAGTAGGGAGCATGTGCCATGCCAGGCGAGTGCTGGCCAGGCAGGCCTGGCAACCATTGCCCTATCGAGGAGCCTGGCAGAGGGAGAACAGGCCTCAGCTGGGGGCAGTAGTAACTGAAGTGGATGAGCCAGGTCCGGGGTCAGACCCTTGCCTCACGAGAGAGAGCTGCTCGGGTCACATGGAGAAAGGCTCTGGGCTGTAAAGCTCTCAGGTGCCAAGCTAGAGACTGCGAAACCCCAGCTAGCCTTTCACCTAACTGGCACCCTCTAGAAAACCGAGGGGCAAATGGCGGAGGTATCAGAGGGAGGGACCTGTGAGACGTTGGGCAGCTATGGAGAGCCGAGTGAATCTCAGCTGAGTCCACACCGCCAGGCGCGGGTCAAAGGCCAGCAGTAGGGCCAGGGTTAGAGGGGGCCAGGCCGCCCATCCAGCCTCCTCAGGGCCCCTGCATCAGGACAGGCTGACTCTGGCAGCATCACCTGCCCCCAGAGTGCCCCGTCTGCAGGTCATCTGGGCCCCTGGCTGGAGTCCCCATTCCCTCTTCTCGTGTGCTTGGGGCATGCTAAGAAAATGCAGACATGTTTTATTTTACCTTTATTTATTATAAATATATTATTGATTTCAGAGAGGAAGGAAGGGAGATAGAAACATCAGTGATGAGAGAGAATCATTGATCAGCTGCCTCCTGCACGTCCACCATTGGGGACTGAGCCGGCAACCGGGCATGTGCCCTGACTGAGAATGGAACTGTGACCTCCTGGTTCATAGGTCGATGCCCAACCACTGAACCACATCAGCCGGGCAGCAGACAAATATTAGTGGGAACCTAGATTAAATGCAATCAGGGAGGACATTTAAACTGGGGCAGAACCATGGGACCTGCTCCAAAGCCAGAGTGAAAACGGATTCAGATGAACCTCCTGCCCGTCTGTCACACGTGAGTGGCTAAGAATGAAAATTGTCAAGTCACGGATGGAGGAGGGCCCATGGAGGCCGGTTACTGTGGGCACAGGCTCTCCTCTTCTGAGATGGAAGACCAACCCAGAACCCCACTCTCCCTGCTCTTCATGGATTTGCTCCAGATGGGGCTCTGGGAATAGGGGACAACCTGGTGAGCTGTGGGGCCAGCCAGCAGCCCTCGGGAGCCACGAGAAGTGCCCTGTTCAGAGACTGTGATAGGTCTTTTAATTGATCCCTGAGCCCCAAAGACAGGACATGTAGATCTGCAAAGAACAGAAACAAGCTGAACCTGGGTTCGCCTGCCTTTCTTGGTGTGCACCTTCTCTAGCGCCGGGAACCCAGAGGGGGCCCCTTCACCCCGCCGGGCGCTGGGCCAGGCCCTCCCCGGGCACAGGAGCAGAGCTGCCTTCTGTGACAAAGGCTGCCTCTGGAGGCTGCCTCAAAGCGCAGCCCAGCCCAGTGTTCCAGAGGCCTTGGAACAGAGGAAGCGTGTGCTGAGTAGGGCAGGGGTTGCAAATGACAGGGAAGAGAAGCCACCCGCTGCTTCAAGTGCCCATTGTGCAAGCGCCAGCGGCCCAGCGGCCTGGGGATTAATATCAGAGCAGCCGGCTCTTGGCCAGAATCAGTGTGACTAATTGGGGGACAAACAGGAAGGCTGTTCACCTGCCCAGAGCTCGGTCAGGGTTTCCTACGGACAGCATCAGCAGCCCAGAGTACAAGCAGTTTTGTTCCTTGCTTTGAGGCTCTCATGCCAATGACGTCAGCAGGGCCTGAGGCAGTGTCCGATCTGGACGGAGCAGGGGAGGAAGCTGGTCAGCAGGCATCTGAGGCTCTAAGGCAGGGAGCTCTCGTCCCAACGCCAGGCCTCCATCCGGGACCAAAGCTATTCATTTCCCTTGTGACTCCTGCTCCTCTGACCTTAAGATAGGGCTTTTCTCCTGGCAACTTCCAGGAATGAGACTTCCCTTCCAGCACAGCAGAGAAAACAAGATTAAGGAGAGGGAGTTTCTGGTGCGTCCTGCAGGGCTCAGAGAGGGACTCCGTCACCTGCACAGCCCCCTCGGGCCTGAGCACAGTAGGCTTGGCACAGCCAGAAACACTTGACCAGATATACATCCCACTAACGGCATAAAGGCTTTCAGTGTCAACTGAAGGGCAGAGCACCCCACCTGGGCCTACTGGGTGTCCCACAGGCCCTACCAGGAGCAGACAATCCCCAGGTGTCCAACATGGGGACACAGAGTGAGGGGACAGGAGGAGAAACATCCACTCTGAACTCTGTCCATCCCCCTCAGTAGAGGGCCCTGTCTGCTCTGAAAAATTGTTACTATGGGCTTCTGTAGCTAAGCACTGGAAATGTGTGGCCAGGGTATCAGCTAGAAAATAACCTTCCTGTTGTGACCAGGCGGGACCAGGTGATGAAGGGCCAGCCCCACGTGAGGTCTCGGTGACCAGCCCTCTCTCTGCACCGTCTGCCCGAGAACATGGCAGAGGTCTCTCCCTGGAGGACGTCTCCCAGGGCGTTGCTGCCTCAAGTCTTTTATTCTTCCATGTGCTTCCTTCTATTCCTGAAAGAAATCTGCATGGGAAGGAGGCTTGTGTTATTTGTGGCCAAATTCCCACCAAGATTTCATGGCTTGGAGAACAAACATAACAGGGTAACCTGGCTAGACTAAGGGAAGTGTGGCAGAGCCCACACGCAGGCACACAGGTGTACGTATGCTCACACAGGCACATGCATGCTCACATACACTCAGAGCAGACAAGATCTGTGGCTGGATCTACTAACTGACCTGCCAGGGACATCATTTCAAAGACCTGCACTATGTCCACATCTGATTCAAGCAGAACGTGCTTAGGGGTGGGGGAGGGTTGTGGGGACCCTGTGGTGTGTATATGTGGGGAAGGAGGAAAAGAGGGGGGCAGCTCGGCAGCCAGAGAAGCCACAGGCCAGTGGCAGCTATGGCTTCAGTGAAGGTGCTCTGGCATCAGGGACACAGGTCCTGGTCCAGAGGACAAAAGCCACAGTGTAAGGACACCAAGAGCCCAG